TTCACCGTTTTAAGGAATTACTGGAAGATGGCAGTTCTGGCCAATGGATCCTGTTTATTTTTTATCAGTGGCAGATTAAATCTCTGTTTGAAAAAAAAATGTTATATTTCATGGGAACACAATTCCCAAATCATCTGTGTTTCTGTTATGGTCCTCTAGAACAGGCTGAGAATCTCATCTCAGGCTTGAGGTTGGGAGAAAAAGCTCCTTTTAAAATGGAATTATCCCACAGGAAATGTGTTATAAAATTCAGCAAAGTAACTCAATAGTTATTGAGCACCTACTATGTGCCAGTTACTGTTTCATGCACTAGGGACACTGCAGTGAACAAAACAGACAAAACCCTTGTCCTCATAGAGCGTGCTTCTTAGTAGTAAAGGTGACCTGTCCACAGTCCTGCTTGTGGTTTAGATTCAGAGCCATCTGGCACTCAAGACACCTCTGCATCTCTGTCTAGGATCTTGGTACACTCGGTTAGAAGCAGACAGCTGTCAGGCATTGGTACTGGTGTCTTATCACAGAGTCAAGATGTTCACTGTATCAGAACATAACAAGGATAAGCTATGAGATTCTGGCCAAGTACTTTCTTGGAAACTAAATTAAAATATTAGGTCAATCTGTGGCTTTACATTAATCTTTGGAACCAACAGAAAATATTGCAGCCACTGTAAAAAAAAAAAAAAAAAGTCACAACCCACCACAAGGTTTTTTGCCTCTACAAGTGGCAATTAAAATAGAACTAAAGAAAATGTCATCATTTACAAAAATGTTCAAATGTCGGGCTTCCCTGGTGGTGCAGTGGTTGAGAGTCCGCCTGCCGACGCAGGGGACACAGATTCGTGCCCCGGTCCGGGAAGATCCGACATGCCGCGGAGCGGCTGGGCCCGTGAGCCATGGCCACTGAGCCTGCGCGTCCGGAGCCTGTGCTCCGCAACGGGAGAGGCCACAACAGTGAGAGGCCCGCGTACCACAAAAAAAAAAAAAAAAAAAAAAAAAGTTCAAATGTGGAATAAAAAAAGCTTTTTCTTCATTCCTTGAAAAGAAATTCTTACTTATTAAGGGTCTAGAAACTTAAACTGGTTTTCACATGGCCAACAAAACCATGTCAGATCCACACCTGTTTCTCACATGCCTGAGGAAGAATAAAGTTGGCTTGGTCAGGTCAAAGTCACATGGGATCTCATGACGAATAAAGGTCTTCACTGCCTTCATGCTGAACTCAGTACATAAAGTTTTTGAGTTTTTGAGTAACAGTTTAGACTCATGGGACTTCTAAGTAAAAGGTCAGCAATCAAAAGCATTTTCTCTAACTGTCTTTTTAATATGAAAACAAAAGTTTGATTAATAAAGAATTCAAGACCGGAAACTGAGAAGTAAATAATATATCAAGAGAAAAATGAATTGGTACAGCCACTATGGAGAACAGTATGGAGATTCCTTAAAAATCTACAAATAGAACTACCATATGACCCAGCAATCCCACTACTGGGCATATACCCTGAGAAAACCATAATTCAAAAAGAGTCTTGTACCAAAATGTTCATTGCAGCTCTATTTACAATAGCCTGGAGTTGGAAACAACCTAAGTGTCCATCATCGGATGAATGGATAAAGAAGATGTGGCACATATATACAATGGAATATTACTCAGCCGTAAAAAGAAACGAAATTGAGCTATTTGTAATGAGGTGGATAGACCTAGAGTCTGTCATACAGAGTGAAGTAAGTCAGAAAGAGAAAGACAAATACCGTATGCTAACACATATATATGGAATTTAAGGGAAAAAAATGTCATGAAGAACCTAGGGCTAAGACAGGAATAAAGACACAGACCTACTAGAGAATGGACTTGAGGATATGGGGAGGGGGAAGGGTAAGCTGTGACAAAGCGAGAGAGAGGCATGGACATATATACACTACCAAACGTAAGGTAGATAGCTAGTGGGAAGCAGCCGCATAGCACAGGGAGATGGGGAAGGGTAAGCTGTGACAAAGCGAGAGGAGGCATGGACATATATACACTACCAAACGTAAGGTAGATAGCTAGTGGGAAGCAGCCGCATAGCACAGGGAGACCTGCTCGGGGCTTTGTGACCGCCTGGAGGGGTGGGATAGGGAGGATGGGAGGGAGGGAGACGCAAGAGAGAAGAGATATAGGAACATATGTATATGTATAACTGATTCACTTTGTTATAAAGCAGAAGCTAACACATCATTGTAAAGCAATTATACTCCAATAAAGATGTAAAAAATAAGAAACTATCAGCTATATCCAAAGATAAAAGCCAATTTTGACTTAAAATATTAAATTTACAGGACCAGAGATTATATGTGTCCAGGATTTGAAGGACCTCATGTTTCAAGATACAAGAAAAATACTTCTCTTTCTTTACTAATATTGCAAGCTGCACCAGCCCTATTTTTATTGCTGGCTTTACCTGAGCCTTCTCTGAGCTCCAGTTTCTGAATTATGAGATGAAAAAGGCTGTCCCAATCTAATAAACAATCTAGCAATTACATTTATTAGTTGATAACATTTACCTGTTTTTCCCCATTTTGAACAAGCCATTTGCAAAATTCTTCAATGGTCGTCAGTGTTTCATAATCCTCTGGGCCCAATGTTGTCTGATACACAGCGATGCTTTTTATAAAATATATCTCAACAGCATCTGCAAAAAAGGGAAACAATTATTTAAGGCAATATGCTAGCCTTTACAAGTGTCTAATTTCTGCTTCAGCTAAATTAATTAGACAATTGCATGCTTAAAGCCCATGCCTGTCCTCTTTCCAGCACTCATAAAAGTCTTCAGCACTCAAGAAGTCTGAGATATAACCTGATGGCATATCAGATGATGTTCTGATTTTATTCTCTTGATGAAATGCATGGATTTTCTGTAGGAAAAGAAAGCTTATGTCTCAACAGTCTTATCCTGAGATCTAAAATAACCATCATATTAAACTCCCAAGTGCAAAGCAAGACTATGTTTTTAGCTAAATTAAAGTCTGATGGAGATTTTACTGCTTCCTGGGGTTTCTGTTCAGTGTATGTGTGTGTGGAGAGAGAGGGTGAGTTTTGATTTTCAAAGAACTTTAAATATACAGTTTTTATTGTTTACAAATTTACTTCTAATGTTGTCTTTTATTCCAAACATAATAGATGTTTATGTAATCAATCTAGAAAATGCAGAGAAGCAACAAGAAAATGAACATTATCTTCATACACATCACTCAGGAACAGGCACTAACATTTTTTTTAACCACTATATTAAGGTATAATTTGTATACCACACATTCACCCATTGTAATTATACAGTCTGATAAGGTTTTAGTAAATTTATATAGTTACATAATCATGATACATGATGTGATCACACAATATAGAGTCTTTTCAGGCTGGATTCTTTCATGTAGCATACTGTTTTTGAGGTTCATCCATGTTGTTGCATGAATTAGTTTTACTCCTTTTTATTGATGAGTAGTTTTCTATCATATGGATATATCACATTTTTACACATTCACAAGTTGGTGAATATTTGTGTATGTGTATACAGTCTACTATGTTTATCCGCATACTTATCAGTTCCAATTCCATTCCTTTCTGTGGATCTGAGTTACCATGTGCTGACATTTTCTTTCAGCCTAATGGCTTCCTTTAGTATTTCTTTCAGGGCAAGACTGCTACCAACAAATCCTGTTTTTGTTAATCAGGAAATATCTTTATCTCACCTTCATCTTTGAAGGATAGTTCTGCTGGATGTACAATTCTTGGTTGAATTCTATGGCAGTATTTTGAACATATTATTCCACTGCCTTCTAGCCTTCATTTATCTGATGAAAAAATCATTAATCCTATTGTTATTCCCCTGTACAGAGTTGTTTCTCCACTGCTGCTTTTAAGATTTTCTCTTTGTCATTCAGCAATTTGACTGTGTCTAATTATGTTTTTTTTGTGTGCTTACCTTACTTGGCACTGAGACTTCTGAATCTGTGGATAACATTTTTATCAAATTTGGGAACTCTGGGGCCATTATTTCTTTAGATGCTTCTCTGCCTCATTCTTTCTCCTCTCCTATTGCAGCTCTCATCACGTGAGTGTTGGTACATCTGCTATTGTCCCACAGATCTCTTATGCTCTGTTCATTTCTCTTCAATATCTCCTATCTCTGTTCTTTGGACTGGATCATCTCTAGTGACCTACGTTTGAGCTATCTGTATCTTTTCTGCCATCTCAAATCTGATGTGATCATTAATACATTTTTCATTCAGTTACTATATTTTAAAATTCTAGAATTTCCATTTTAGCTGATTTTTAAAAGTAGTTTATATTTCTCTATTGAGATTTCCTATTTACTAAGTGATTTTCATAATATTTTCTTTTAATTCTTTGAACAGCTTCCTTTAATTCTTTGAACATATTTATGATAGCTGCTTTGAAGCTTTTGCTAAATCCAACATCCAGCCCACTTACCGTCAACCTCTTTTTCTTTTTCTTTTCTTTTCTTTATTTTTATTTCTTTATTTTTTTGGCTGTGCTGCTAGGCTTGCGGGATCTTAGTTCCCTGACCAGGGATTGAACCCAGGCCCTCAGTAGTGAAAGCACGGGCCCTAACCACTGGACCACCACCAGGGAATTCCCTAGAGTCAATTTTTCTGAGTCACAGGTTCCTGCCTCCTTGTATTGTCCCTTTTTTTGCTGACAACTGTACATTTTAGATAAAATATAGGAGCAATCACAGATTCTGATACATCTTTATGGGATTTTGTTTTGTTTTGTTTTGTTTCTGTTTTTTGGGTTTTTTTTTTGCAGTGCACGGACCTCTCACTGTTGTGGCCTCTCCCGTTGCGGAGTACAGGCTCCGGACGCGCAGGCCCAGCGGCCATGGCTCACGGGCCCAGCCGCTCTGCGGCATGTGGGATCTTCCTGGACTGGGGCACGAACCCGTGTCCCCTGCATCGGCAGGCGGACTCTCAACCACTGCGCCACCAGGGAAGCCCTTGTTTTGTTTTTAAACTACAGAATCTGTCTCCCCCATGGAGCTTGGAGGCTAATGTCTTTGCTCTGGTGTTATTTTTGTGTGCGTTTGTTTTGGGTTTTTTTTTTTTTTTTTTTTTATTAATAGACTTTTTAGAGCAGTTTTACATTCACAGCAAAATTGAGTGGAAAATACAGAGATTTCCAATATAACCCTGCGCACAAATATGTACTTACAATGGTTAATTTTGTGTGTCAACCTGACTGTGCTAAGGGATCCCAGATAGGCTGGTAAAGAATAATTTCTGGTGTGTCTGTGAAGATATTTCTGGAAGATATTAGCATTTAAATTAGTATACTGAGTAAAGAAGATCTACCCTTACTAACATAGGCAGGAATTATCCAATCCATTAAGGGTCTGAATAGAATCAAAAAAGGGCAAAGGAAGAGCAATTTGTCTCTTTCTTTTCTTGAGCTGAGAAATCCATCTACTCCTGCCCTTTGGGCCTTTGGGCGCCAAGACTTATTTCAGCGGCCCCCACGTCCCCCATTTCTCAGGCCTCTGGCCTCAGACTGAGATTTACACCATCAGCTCCCCTGGTTCTCAGGTCTTCAGACTCAGACTAAATTATACACCAGCATTCCTGGTTCTTCAGCTTGCAGATGGCAGATTGTGGTACTTTTCATTCTCCATAACCATGCATGAGCCAATTTCTATAATAAAGCTCCTCTTTTATTTATTTTTTTAAATTTTATTTATTTTTTTTGCGGTACGTGGGCCTCTCACTGCTGTGGCCCCTCCCGTTGCGGAGCACAGGCTCCTGACTCGCAGGCTCAGCAGCCATGGCTCACGGGCTCAGCCGCTCCGCAGCATGTGGGATCTTCCCGGACCGGGGCACGAACCCGTGTCCCCTGCATCGGCATGCGGACTCTCAACCGCTGCGCCACCAGGGAAGCCCAAAGCTCCTCTTTTATATCTCTATCTATATATACTGTTGGTTATGTTTCTCTGGAGAACTCTAACACAGATTTTGGTACCAGGAGTGGGCTCAACAACTTGGACTCCCACTCACCAAGGCCAGCCTGGTTATGGCCACTGTTGAGTGTCCAATCTGCCAGCACAGAGACCAACACTGAGCTCCCAGTATGGCACCATTCCCCAGGTGATCAGCTATCTACCTAGTAGCAGGTTGGTTACATTGGACTACTTCCATCATGGAAGGGGCAGTGTTTTGCCCTTACTGGAACAGATATCTACTCTGGATGCAGATTTGTATTTCCTGCATGCAAGGCTTCTGCCAAAACTACCATCTGTGGACTCATAGGATACCTTATTCACCATCATGGTATTCCACACAATACTGCTTCAGACCAAGGAGCTCACTTCACAGCAAAGTGTGGAAGTGGGCCCAGGCTCATGGAATTCACCACTTTAGGATGGTTACCCACCATCCTAAAGTAGCTGTCTTCATGGAACAGTGGAATGCCTTTTGAAGACTCAGTTATAGTGTCAGCTAGGTGGCAATACTTTGCAAGGCTGGGTCAAGCTTCTCCAGAAGGCTGTATACTCTCTGAATCAGCATCCAGTAAATGGTACTGTTTCTCCAGTAGCCAGGATTCACAGGTCTAGGGATCAAGGGGTGGAACTATGAGCAGCGCCACTATTACCCCTAGTGACCCACTAGCAAAATTTTTCTTCCTGTTCCCACAACTTTATGCTCTGCTGGCCTAGAGGTCTTAGTTCCAGAGGGAGGAGTGCTTCCACCAGAAGATACAACAATGATTCCATTGAACTGGAAGTTAAGACTGCTACCTGGCCATTTGGGGTTCCTCATGCCTTTGAGTCAACAGACAAGGAAAGGAGTTACTGTGCTGACTGGGGTGATTGATCCTGACCACTAAGAAGAATTGGAGTAGTATTCCACAATGGAGGTAAGGAAGAGTATGTCTGGAATACGGGAGATCCCTTAGGGCTTCTCTTAGTATTACTATGTCCTGTGATTAAGGTCAATGGAAAACGACAACATCCCAAACCAGGCCAGATTAGTTCAGGAGTGAAGGTTTGGACCACCCCACCAGGTAAAGAACCATTACCAGCTGAGGTGCTAATAAAACAAAAGGAAAATAGAATGGGTAGCAGAAAAGGGTAGTTATAAATTCCAGCTAAGACCACATAACCAGTTACAGAAATGAGGACTATAATTGTAATGAGCATTTCCTCCTTATTTTATAAATATGTTTGTGTGTGTGTGTGTGTTTGTGTGTGTGTATATATATTAAGCAAATATCTTTGTTTTCTTTGCTATTTTATTTTATCATGTTACATAAGATGTATTAACTTTATATCAGCATTTAAGGATCATTAATTTTACAGCATAGCTTTCAGGTTATGGGATACCAAAAGATGAGTAAACATCCTTGAAGGTCTTTACCTCCTCTTCTTGGGGAAGGGATTTGTGCGTTTTCAGTTGTACCCAGGATAGTTGTATCATGTCAGGTGGAATTATGACCTTGTTATTGTCTTTATTTGGAGATTATGTTTAAGGAGATGCATATAGGTATCAAGTTGACAAGGAGTGTATTTGTGATGGTTACTTTTGTGTCAACTTGACTGGGCTAACAGATGCCCAAATAGCTGGAAAAACATTATTTCTGAGTGTGTCTGTGAGGGTGTCTCCAGGAGAGATTAGCATCTGA